CTGCCGGCCCCGGCCAGCCCACCCCCTACGCCGTTGGAGGAGCCTTCGTGGACGCGGAGACCCGTCTTCTTGCGAGGCTCGGCGGCCCTGACCAGACCAGCCCCCACCCCGGCGCAGGAGGCAAGGCCAGAAGAAGTCAGCATTGAACCACCCTACGAATCCCCACCGTCTGGGTCTGGGTCAGACGTCGTGGAACAAATAGTATTTATCATTAAATCCTTATAATCTTGTCATAGACACATGTAGAGTAGGGATTTGAATGTGCCTTAAATTCTACAGGTGCAATACTGCAGGCGAAGGGTGGCCAGCCCAGACCGGCACGTACCGCTTCCCGATTTTATGATATCCAGAGTGCTGGTTGATAGAGGGCTCCCACTTCCGCACGGTCCTAGTGCCCTGGTCCGAGTGGAGGAATGGCTCAAAGTCCAAGACAGTTGGAAAGCCACAATGAGAGGCGCACTATTTCAGCATGTCACTGAGCCAACTGAACCTGTGGTGAGTCTCATTATTTCTAGATTTGTATGTCTACGAGCTTCACAAAGTGTTGTCGCATTTGTGGGTTGGGGCAATGGGGACAAGTCGGGGCACTACGGGCAAGAGGTCAATGGTCATAGGGTTTATTCAGAGAGCAGCGAATACAGGGAGCGGCCTAGAAGCCTGAGACGCTCGCGCTGCTCTGGCCGGGGACGGGGCCGGCCGCGGGCTCGCATGATCGGATAGACGCTGGGTGCTCAAGGCGGGCCGCCGTCTCCACACAGCCGCCTGGCGGGTTGGCCTACCCACACCGTTGCAGGCGGTATCACTGGCATCGGCTAGGGAAACGCTCATTGTTGACGTACGAGTGTAGCCGCGGACCGAAGCCTGAGATAGTGTATTTCGACTAACGGATGAAGAAGAAGAGCGGGTAGAACATGAAGGTTCCTGATTGGCCGAGCGCTGACCCCCACTACCGGCGTGAAGGAGAGGTAGCGTAGAGGCGGGAAGCTCTCGACCAATCGGTAACGTTTATGTTCTACCCGCTCTTCTTCTTCCTCCCTTAGTCGAAATACACTATACAACAGTCAGCTGCAGTGCTAAGATTGAGTTTACTGACTAGTTTAGGGTAGACGTTTGATACAAAACAAATAATTTCTTATGTACTGCAGGAACAGTCCGAGCATGCCGTTGAGCTGACCTCAACCCCGGTGCAGCAGGAGCCTTCGTGGACGCGGAGACCCGTCTTCTTGCGAGGCTCGGCGGCCCTGACCAGCCCAGCCCCCACCCCGGCGCAGGAGCTACCACCGGCG